TTTAATTAACATTTTCTGCATTGAATCAAAGAATATGTTTGAATTTCACAAATACATCTCAATTTCATAGCCTCACATTTAATAACAGGTATCAAGATTATTCAAAGTTCTCTTTGAGCAATCAAAATTCAAATAACAGACATATAGCTGCTATGGGGTAGGAGACTGTGTATATACTCTGACAGAACTCTCTTTTCTTTCAATGTTTTACGTACTTTTTCTTTCATAATAGAAATCCTTTACATAAACAGTCTTAAAAAATACAGAACTACAAAAGACAAACCAATAAATGATAAAAGATTACTTTATTTCCAGTACTCACACTACTTCTATTAGCATATTGGTGTATTTCTTTATTATTATTATTGATGTATATGGACATGTAACATTACATCGGTTTAGGTGTACAATATGATTCCATATTTGCATATGTTACAAAATGATCACCACAATAAGTCTAGTTAACGCTTGTCACCAAACATAAATTTTTTTTTCCTTGTGATTGGAAACTTTTAAGATTTGCTCTCTTAGTAACTTTCAAATATGCAACACAGTATTATTAACTACAGTCACCATGCATACATTATATGTCCTCATGATTTACTTATAACTGGAAGTTTGTACCCTTTGACCCTTTTCACCCATTTCATTCACCTCCTACCTCCTGCCTCTGGCGGCCACCAATCTATTGTTCTATGAACTTTTTTTTTTTTTTTTAGATGCCGCATATAAGTGAGATCATACAGTATCTGTCTTTTTCTGTCTGCCATAATAATACCCTTAGCATAATACCCTCAGGATCCATCTATGTTGTTACAAATGGCAGGATTTCATTCTTTTTTATGGCTGAGGAACATTTAATTGTGTGTATGTATATACCACCACTTCTTTTCCCATTCATCTATTGATGGGAACTTAGGTTGTTTCCATGTCTTGGCTGTTGTAAACAATGCAGTGAACACAGGGGTGCATATATCTTTTCAAATTAGTGTGTTCACTTTCTTCAGATATATACCCAAGAGTGGAATTGCTGTATTACGCAGTAGTTCTATTTTTAATTTTTTGAGGACTCTCCATAACGTTTTCAAATTCCTATTCCCACCAACAGTGCATGACAGTTCCCTTTTCGCCGCATGCAAATAACCATCTGTTATTTCCTGGGCAATTTCCTGAATTGTTCAAGGGTTGGAGTACTGACCCTCTGCACAGTTGAAAATCTGCATATAACTTTACATTTGGCCCACCCCATCCAAGGTTCCATATCATGTGGTGGATTCAACCAGCTGTGGACGGTGTGGTGGATCTGTTGCACATGTTCAGTGAAAAATACCCATATGATTAAGCGTGGACCTGTACAGTTCAAACTCGTGTTGTTCCGGGGTCCACTGTCTTTTTGATAGTAGCCATTCTAATTGATGTGAGGTGATATCTCATCATGGTTTTGATGTGCATTTCCCTGGTGATTAGTGATGATGAGCACCTTTTCATGCACTTTTAGTATACCTTCTTTGGAAAAATCTGTCTTCAGATCTTCCTTTTTTTTTTTTTTTTTGCGGTATGCGGGCCTCTCACTGTTGTGGCCTCTCCCTCTGCGGAGCACAGGCCCAGCGGCCACGGCTCACGGGCCCAGCCGCTCCGCGGCATGTGGGACCCTCCCAGACCGGGGCACGAACCCGTGTCCCCTGCACCGGCAGGCGGACTCTCAACCACTGCGCCACCAGGGAAGCCCCTTCCTATTTTTTTAATCAGATTGGTTGTTTTCCTATGGAGTTGTATGAGTTCTTTATATATTTTGGATATTAATTCCTTATCAGTTAAATGATCTACAAATATTTCTCCCATTCATTTTTGTTGATGATTTCCTGCGCAGGTTTTTAGTGATGTAGTCCCACTTATTTATTTTGCTTTCGGCGTCAGATCTAAAAAAATCATCTCCAAGGCCAGCGTTAAGGAGCTTAACACCTATGGTTTTTATTCTACGAGTTTTATGATTTCAAGTCTTACTTTCAAGTCTTTAAGCCCATTCAGTCATTTTTTGTGTGTAGTGTAAGAAAACGATCCAGTTTCATTCTTTTGCATGTGGCTGTCCAGTTTTCCCAACATTATTTATTGAGGAGACTGTCCTTTCCCCATTATATATTCTTGGTTCCTGTGTCATATGTTAATTGACCATATAAGTGTGAAGTGTGGGAGTGTATTTCTTAGCACTGTTTTTTCTAGTCTGCTTTTTTTTGTTTGTTCACCTGTTTCTCTTGTACATAGTGGAAATTATTTTACTTAATAATTTTATGTAAACTGTAAAACATACCAGGGAGTGAGTAGTGAGCCTTCTCTTGGCACGTCAGTGGGATGCTTACCAATCCATACTGGTATGCGTAAGGAAGGAGGATTCGTTCAGTACTTTGGCAGAGCTACAGACTGGAGTACACAAAATTGTAAGAACTAATAGCTGCGGAGCATTTCAGGTCTAAATTCCTTGGCATGTTTCCCAGTGAATTGCAATGAAGGTGTGCATGATCGTCCACTGCTAAATTAAAAGGTTCTTGGAAACCAAGTGCCTAAAATACTAATAACCATCTGGCACTTTGCGAGTTGTTAGATAACTAATTTTCTGGGTGACTGTTTTCCAAACATGTGGTCTCATTCCTTTCTTTTAACCTCCTCCCATCCCACTTTCTTCGTTTCTGAGCATCCTCCAGACACTGTGAACTCCTTTCTCTAATGTTCCCGAGCACTGTCTTTGTACTTACTGCCTGAAATACTCGGTCTTCCTCCACTCCAGCACTTTGCTTTTTGCTTGGAAGGTTCCATGTTCTTTCACTCTCAGACTGAATGGTGCTTGCTCAGAGAGGATGTCCTTGATCTTTTATAAAACAGGTCCCTGTGCCAGGTAACCTTTTTAGGATCCTCTCCCTCTGCACCAAGACTCCATTTACCATTTGACCATCCTTCACTTGAAGAAAAGGGTGCTGACAAACCATCATAACACCCCTAAAATATGGTACTGTAAGATTTGAACTATTACAATCCAGAGATGATTTCTATAAGTTACAACAAGAGAAGGGAACAAAAAAGTGTTGTTCTATAGAGTTGTGTGTGTGTGTGTGTGTGTGTGTGTGTGTGTTTAACTTTCTCTGTCATGAGAGATGAAGCATGTATGCCTACAACTCTGTAATATTTCTAGTAAATAAGAGGCGGTCTCCCTCTCAGAGCTCCAAGTGAGGAAAGGAAAGCTGGAATTGGATGGCATTGCTGTCAGTCATCTGAGTGTAAAAGAGGGCGGCCGTTTGCCTCTCCCAGGGCACCTGTGATCAGGCTGTATCCCCAGATCTTGTCCGTTGACCCGCTTCTCTTCTTTCATCTTTCTCAGGCTGTGTGTAGAGGGGTCTTATGTGAGTGGGGGGAGTGGAAGAGGAAGGGGCTTCACTGTTTGGACTTTTGCAACAAAAAGGAAAAACTTCAAAAGCAGTAAGCTCAAAAAATCAGTGCAAATATTATGGGTTCGTTTACTTGATTTAAAAAGTTACTGCTAAAAATAATTGGAACATTAATGAAAAAGAACCCTTTTGACTGATGTGTGTTCCTTGGTGTTCTACATCTTTTACTCCCTGCCTTATAAAAATAGAGCTAATTAATTTAAGTTCTGGCAAAGAAAAGGGAGGATTCCCTGATCTTTGGCCAAGAATTCCCCTCCACTACCACCAACATTCTCACACACTCCCCACTCCCAACCAAGCTATTCTCCCTGACATCATCTGGTGTTTTTCCGTCCTAGTTTTCATCGGAATTTAGAGTTGTGGTGTTCTTTTATCTACATGTTTAATGTTTGCCTCTCCCATTAGAATGCAAGCTCCACAGGGGACAGGTTCTTGTTGGTCTTGTTCACCCTCTTACCTTGTCTCCTCGGGACCTACCCCAGTGCTTGGCATATGGGTGGTGATCAGATGTACATTGAATGAATGAGCAAATAATGATTTATACGAATCCATTTTTTAAAGTTTATTTTTCAGCTCTGTCCCACTTGTTTCATTTGAGGAAAAGGGTTGACAAAGTACATGGGTCTCTGACAAGACCTTCCCATTCATTCAATAAACACTTGTTGAGTGCCTGTCACTAGGTCAAGCCCTGGGAATGCCACATGAGTAAGACATGATCGATGACCTCCAGGACCTCAGAGATCAGCAGAGGGAGAGACACACGTGTGTAAATAACTGCCGTTCTTTAGGAAAGAGGGTAATAGAGGTGTGTAAACATGAGCCATCAGAGTACAAGGGGGAAGATTTGAATTCGCCCAGAATGTGAAAGTTTTCACCCAGTCAGTGATATTTACACTGACCCTTGAACAGAGAGGGGAAGTTTGGCTGGTTAGTTACCAGGGAGAAGAGAGTCCCAAGCTGGGGATGGGGTCAGAGACGTGAACATGAATGGCATATTTGGGCAGTACTGTGTGTTTTGGGGGTGGATTGTGAATGCTGTGCAATTTGGAGTTTGGATTTGATCTTAAAGGGGCCAAGGAACCTGCTTAAGCCCAGAAGCCATAGCATACGTAGGGTTCACTGGAGGGGAGTCCATGTTTTGGTTAGAAGGTCAAACCATTCGCTGCAATTACGGGCATTTTTTTTTTCCATTAAAACAGCCTTAATTTAGAGTTCATAATGTATCTTTCATAGACAAGTTTTAGAATTTCATAGAGATATTTTGCTCGCAATTGGTAGCTGTTTTAAAATGTATTTTCCAGATAAAGACTTTTTAATGTATTTTATGTTGAATTTTAGAGACTTTTGAAACCCATTTTTAAAAATGGTACCCAGATAAATGTTACAGTATAAGATCTCTGCAGAACAAACTTCATGAATCTTCATGTGAACTGTGATTAAATATTTTGGATTCTTCCAGATGAGTGAAATACCTAGGTCTTTTCCCCCTGCCCCATCGGTAAAGGTAATGCTTCTTTGTCAATGCCTCATCGAAACAAAACAAAATGCCTCTCTCTCTTGTAGTTCCGCGGCAGCCTTCAAATGACTTGTTTGAAATATTTGAAATTGAAAGAGGAGTCAGTGCAGATGATGAAGCAAAGGATGATCCAGGTAGATCCCTATATTCTTAGGACCGTTATGATGCCATTTTATTTTTTCCCTCCATTTCATTAAAATAACTTTTAAATTGTAGATTGTTCGGTTACATCTGGGAAAATTATACATTTTTTTTTACCACTTGGTTTCCTCTCTAGTTAAATCAGTTGAGCAAAAACTGAATCATCATTATCTTTTTTTTAAAAAAAATATAAAAGCAGCATTTGAGCTTAGGAAATCATATTTTATAAGTGATGTAAGAAGGTCATAATTTGGCAACAATTGTGTGTTCTATTTTTACAGCTGAGCACTGATGCACAATTGTGCTGAGAAAGGATTCATGTGATTTCCTTTTGATCTCATGAAGGGACATTCTGGTGGGATAATTAAGTGCGGACAGGAGAGAACACTTGTACAGATACCCCTAGTTCACAAATTCATTTTTGTCATTAGCTGTTGGGTTTGTGGTCTACTCATGTTTCTGGTTATTTCCTTTCAGGCGTTCTGATACACAGTTGTAATTTTGACCATGGGCTTTGTGGATGGATCCGAGAAAAAGACAGTGACTTGCACTGGGAACCAGTGAGGGATCCAGCAGGTAAAACCATTTACCCGAGTACACATTTCGGTCGGGTCCTATCTGAGGACCCCAGTTGTGCTAATCAAGGATACTATAATGCAGCTCTGTGTTTACTTAATAGAGAGGATAAAGAAAGCTTGTCCAGCATTCATCTTCTATTTTTTTAGGTGATCTGAATTTGTTAGCTATTAGAATTTTAAAGTAGACAAGCAGTTTATTAAAAGGCCAGCTAATTTCTCTCAAAAAAAGCTTTGTATATATAAAACATGTAGACTCATTCTAAAATATAATTTTCAAGTTATGTATAGTGCCCCATTCCCAAGCATAAAAATAATATTGTGGTACAGCAGCCATCATAGTAGCCTGTGGTTGTTTTCTTGATTATGTCTTTTTTTTTTTTTTTAAGATGTAGCAGAAGGAGACAGTGGAAATTCCTGCGAAGTTGTGAATCTCTCTCACAGTCTAATTTTCATACTAATTTGTTTGCTGGAGAAATTAGTTATAAATTACCACCACTTATTCCACAAGAGAATGTTATAAGAAAGGGAGATTTAAATATAGTCCCTTGGAAACTTAAGACTTTTAAATTGCACACTTCCTATGAATCTATAAAGTTTCAAAACTTACAGTATGTTTTGTCATCTTATTTCAGGAAGCAGAGCTACATATTATTGTTGGCTTTTTACCCTCCCTTTAGTAGTTAAATCTTATATGGGTGAGTCCAACTTAATGGAAGGGTGAGGAGTTTGGTTTCTTTTTTTCCTTTTTATACTCCTGATTCTAGACTTAGAAATGAAAGATACAAGACATGAAGAAAAAGTATGTTACTTGTTTTTAAAAGCCTAGTTCCTAAATACCATCCCAAGTGTACAGATAGAGCACAAAACATGTAAAAGTTAACTTGAGGATATGCTCTGTTAAAACCAGCTCTTCTCAACGGTCAGTGTGCACACAGGTCAGCTGGAGGCCTTGTTAAAATGTAGATTTTGATGCATTTCTCACACGCTCCTTGGGGATAATTTTAGGGCTCATCCTTAATGCACATGTTGAGTAGCAAGTTATTAAAAAATTGGTGCAAAAATATATTCATTAGATCCCCTAAGATTGAAATGTTAGAGATATTAAAAAATGAAAATTTGAGGTAAGCTTTTAAAAAATGAGTATCCAACAAACTCAAAGGAGTTTTTAGATTACTTTTAACTATAAAATAATTTTTAATGCCCCCACACACACACGCACACACACCAGTACACTCCCTCTCATTCTCACTTTCATGTTCTCCCTCTCACTTATTTAAGGTTAACTCTGAGCCAGACCACATTATTATTAATATCATAGATAACTGTGAATAAGAGAGAAACCAACATTTATTTAATACCAGCTACAGTCCTGACTCATTCATCATCTCAGTTTTATCTAATCCTCTTATCGACCCTGGGAAGCAGGTAATATTGTTTTTGTTTCACAGAGGGCCAGAGGTTACATCAGTTTCCTAAGGCCACAGAGCTAAAGAATGGACTTCCCATCCAGGCCTCTCTGTACTGCCTGTGCCGCCGTCTCAGCAGTTCAGTGCCCAGAACAGCAGCTGTGTAATTCCGGGGTTTTCACTACCCAGTCTGGCCTCTGTGTCCTGGTTGTGTGCATCATCCGATTAGCAGATCTCAAGCCTGTAGATTTGAGTGACCACTGACCTGGAGTAGTGTGCTACAGAAGGAAGGATCTTTAGCAACCATGTGTGATAGAATGGCGAATAATGTTCATGGTCATAATGAATAACTCTTTCAAGTAAGGTATACACTGGGGAGAAAAATTCATGCTAAATAGTCCGAAGAATTCATTGCACTTCTCTGTAGACAGTCTATGTAAAATGTTTGACCTTTAGAACTTAAATACTATCTTTTAGAACTAATTTAGTACTTTTCAACAGTTTCTGTTATTCGTCACATATGTAAATGTTTAAATTTGTTGTGACCCCCAAATCCACTTGCCCTCCAATAGAAAAATGAGAAGAGAATTGACAGAGTGGTAGACAAAAAAAAAACAGGTTTGAAATGGTCCTTTGGCTGTGATAATACAGAACAAGTTGAAAGGAAGTGGCGGCTGCTTGTGATTGGATAGCTCCTGGTGATTGGCTCTGGCCCCTCAAGGATGCTCTTCTGGGGTTGTTCCAGGTTTTTACCAGCAACTTGGATGAACTGGATATTGAAGGCATACTAACCAATCTGTGGATAACGTAAAGCCAGAGGAGAAAGCGACTGTGTGTGCTGACACAAACAGCATGCAAAGATTAGATCAATGGGTCACACTTAAGAGGGTGAAATCTACTGGGGATGAATATACGGTGTAGCTCGTGGTCGAGAAACCACCTACACAGCTGTAGGTGGGGGAAGATGTGACTTAGCAGAAAGTGTGAAAGACTTTTAGACTTTTTGTGGGTAATAAATCAATATGAGTGAACCCTGTATCATTGCTGCCCAAAAGCTGGGTCATCTCCATAGAAATAGGTATTTTTTCCAGCACGGAAAATACACTTTGGTAGGTTCTTACCAGTCTGAGAAGTACAGAGGTAATTGTAGGTCACTCAAAAGAGAATGACCTGGATGGAGAGGTGTCTCAGAGCCTGTAGAAAAACAGGTGAGGAACCCAGAATGTTTAGCCTGGAGAAGAAATAATGGAGCAGGGCAGCTTTTCAAATACAAGACCGACAACATCTAGCTCAGTTGTTCCGTGATCACAAGGGGATAAGAAGTCGGATCACTAGGTGAAAACTACAGGGGGATCTATTTTTGCTCACCCTCAGAACTTTACCGTAGTCAGAGCTGTCTAAAGAGAAATCAGGCGGCCACGGAAGCAGGGAGCTCTCTGTTGGTGGAGATGTTTGACTGGGTGACATATGACAAGATGTTGTTTTGAGAATTAGACAAAGGGTGGATTAGAAAGCCTCTTATACCGGCTCTGGGAGCCTCTGACTCAGAATGGAATGTCCCAGGTTGAATCAGTGAGCAGGGTTCTAGCTGGGAGAATGGATGGGAAGACCAAAGATGGCAGAGATTTAGTTAGAAGACGTATGAGGGCATAGCTTACATCAGGGCGGAATCGTAGGCGGGCTTTTTAGAATATGTTGGGGAGTTCTAATCATATACAGATTCTGACATATTCAGATGGAGAATGCTAATGAAGCTTACTTTCTGTGCCTATTTTTCTTCTAGGCAGTTCAGGTGGGGTTATGTATGTATCCCATGCTAAGGCCAGAGAAGACTATAAGCAATTTAATCAATTATTTTTGTGTATCATTTTAACTACCAAACTAATAGTTTGCTTGTTTCTATCTAGATTATACCATTTGTAAAGGAACATATGTTTGGATTTCCACATATGATTTTTATGTTGTGCATTTCTTATCCAAGATCCAGATTTGCAAATATTCTTATATGCTAATATCTCTAAAAAACCTTCCCTTAAACAAACTTATAACTTTGAGAAACAGCTGCAAAATAAGTGCATTTGCTAGTCACCTTCCTGGTGCTCATTAGGTTTTGTTATCACATTCAGTCTTAAACTTAATTGCGAGATAGTGAAATTAATCCATCCTCTAGGGAATGGAAAATTGTGCTCCTGACAGATGTGATAATGTGCTACAGACTTATAGCTGTGGCCCTGAACACACGCCCTTCTCCTGTAGTGTCAAGGCTAAACTTGAGGCCCTTTTCCTGGAACCCTAATCTCAACTGACTCAGCACTCTGTCTGCTACTGGTAGCTACAAGGAATTCGTTTAAATATAAAATATGCCAGCGTGTACATACAGCTATGTCTATTGCAGCATTAAGAAACATTATTTTGAAATACATGAAAATGGAAAAATAAATCAACAGTGAAAATAAAAGCTCCCTCCCAACCCTGGGCCCCAGTCATCCTCCCCAGATGCAACCAGTTCCTTGGTTACCTTTCCAGAGAGCTATTATTCCTCACAACAACCCTCTCTTCTGTACCTTGCTTCTTCCACTTAATTTTATCTTAAGTGTTAACCTGAGTGTGGACCTGCTATATAACACAGGGAGGTCAGCTCGGTGCTCTGTGACGACCTAATGGGTGGGATGGGGCTGTGGGAGGGAGGTCCAAGAGGGAGGGGATATAGGTACACATATAGCTGGTTCACTACACTGTACAGCAGAAACTAACACAACATTGTAAAGCAATTTTACTCCAAAGGAAAAAAAAAAAAAGTGAGTGGACTTTGAAGCCAGAATGCCTGGGCTGAAACCCACCATCACCACTTACGAGCTTTGATCTTGAGCAGGTTACTTAAATGGGGTCATCAGTAGTGTCTAGTAAACGTATGTAAAGCATTTAAAGCAGTCCCTGTCCTAGAGTTACCATTAAAATAGTATTAGCCATTGTTGTCAAAGATTGTTCTGTATCAGTGCATACATAACACCTTCATTCTTAAATGAATGGCGGTTACTCCATCACTTCTTAAACGTATTTAACCAGACATCCATTGAGGGACGTTTCAGTTGTTTCCAGCCTTTTGGTAGTTCAGGCAATGCTGCAGTTAGTAACCCTGTCCAGATATCATTTCATATATGTTTGAAATTAAAATTTTATCACCTATATATCTGGCAAGTGTTACAGCATCTATTATTTACCAAAAAACAACTTTAGATATTGTGATGCTTTAAACTGAATCCATGAAAATATTTAATGTAATTTTTTATTTAAACCAGTATTTTGGAATCAGAAGTGAAATTTTTATTTAATAGGTAATTTGGAGGTCTAGATCAATTTTTCCCTTAGCTACTGTTCCAACTTTGTAACACTTCCATTTATTAAAAAGTGAAAGAGGGCTTCCCTGGTGGCGCAGTGGTTGCGCGTCCACCTGCCGATGCAGGGGACATGGGTTCGTGCCCCGGTCTGGGAAGATCCCACATGCCGCGGAGCGGCTGGGCCCGTGAGCCATGGCCGCTGAGCCTGCGCGTCCGGAGCCTGTGCTCCGCAACGGGAGAGGCCACGGCAGTGAGGGGTCCACATATCGCAAAAAAAAAAAAGTGAAAGAATTCTTCATGGTAAAAAGAAAAAAATCCTAGTGGCCACAGAGTAGCCCTATAGGGGAAGAGCAATAGTAACCTCATTTATAGAGTTTTAAAAATCTATATAAAATGATTATTTGACTCTTTTATTAGGATGTCTTGGTTTTTGTTAGGTTGTCTTACTGCAGGCAGTGTCTGGCATAGTGATATTAGTATACATTCCACAGGGATTTAAGATAATCCTTGTTTTCTTAAAACTTGCAGGTTAACTGTAATAACCTTATATCTTAGTCTTAACCAAAATACCTGTGATGATTCAAAAAGCTGACTAACAGGGAGACATTCGAAATCCATCTAAATATTTTGGCTCAAAATATTGTTTGGATTAATTTGGGGAAGACGGGGGTGGAAGGAGTACAAAAAACTGTGTTTGTTTTTGGTGAGTCAAGTACCTGACTCAGGATCTATTTCTCTGTTGTTTTTTGCTGTATTCTTGGAATGTCATTTATTCAACAAATGGCATTAAACTCCTACCATACGCTAGGAGTGTAATGGGGTTTGAAGAGAGGTTGGCTCTGACATCAAAGAGTTCACAGTCTCTTTGACTGTAAGAGACCCTCTTTGACTGCGGGAAAGAAACGTGTAAACCAGTAATTCCTGTGCTGAATAGGGGTTCAGGCAGTTCTGAACTCAAACTGTTACTCTGCTGCCTACTGGCTGGGTGACATCTTGGGTGACTTCACCTCTCAAAGCCTTAGGCTTGTTTTGCAGGTGCAGAAGCTAATAAGTGTTCACTTCACGGGCTTGTTAGCAAGGTTAGATGAGATGCTCCCCGGAGGGCCCTCGTACAGAACCTGGCCCTCACAGGTACACACAACTCACCAATTTGGGCCTTTAAAGGCTCAGAGGAGACTTGATAGAGGAGAAGTCACTTGAAGAATAGGACATCCCAAACCTTGTCATGTCTTGTACAGATTAAGCATAAGGAATGCTTTTCAGTGAAAGGTAAGTGGGGTTTCTACCAAAACAGTTACAGGTGTTCAGCATTCCAACCACATTTTTCCTATGGATAAGTCAGTGTTGAGACTACAGTGTGTTTTTCAGGTAGCTGCAATAAAACAGCCTGAGGGGTATGTCACTTGTACTTGGACTGAGTTTCAAACTACTACTTGAAACTTTCCGTCTCTTGAGAAGCACCGTCCCTCACGTCACTGCTGCTCAAACTTTTTTTTCCCCCTTAACTGCAATTCCTCTAACAATAGAGGGAAGCAAACTCTGGAGCCCTAGGGATCCAAGCACATCATCAAAGCGACCTTTCCAAAGGGAAAGATTTTACTAACATTTTGTGTTCATGTATGTGTAATGGAAAATTTCTATATCAATTATATTGTTATGGATTTGTATTTATATAAAAAATCTTTTAAACTGCTTACCTCCAAATACTATTGATGCTCCAGGAAGATGTGGCAGGTTTCCAGAACACTTCTGCATCTTCTTGAGGTCAGGTATGAGAAGCACAGCAAACTCGTTTTTAAAGGAGCCTTCTCCCTTTAGAGCATTGGTCCCCAAACTTTTTGGCACCAGGAACCGGTTTCTTGGAAGACAGTTTTTTCCACGGACTGGGGAAGGAGGGATGGTTTGGGGATGATTCAAGTGCATTACATTTATTGTGCCCTTTATTTCTATTATTATTACTTTGTAATATATAATGAAATAATTATACAACTCACCAGGGGGCAGAGCTCAGGCGGTAATGCGAGCGATGGGGAGCGGCTGTAAATACAGATGAAGCTTCGCTCACTCGCCCACCGCTCACCTCCTGCTGTGCGGCCCGCTTCCTAACAGGCCGCGGACCGGTACTGATCTGTGGCCCGGGGGTTGGGGACCCGTGCTTTATAGATTTTTTTTTTTTTTTTTAAGAGGGGAGAGGAGAGAATAAATAGATCTAGTGCCCCTTTAAATCACCATCTGCTTTACTGCCAGGAGACAGAAAATCCACCTAGAAAATTCTCCCTGGTAACTTCACCGCCATACCAGCCAGCCAGCCTGACAGTATGATTCTAGGTGCAAGAAGATCAAGAGGTGGTGAATGTGTGTATGTCTGATCATATTTAACTGGAAATATTTACAGCGTTAGGGTGACTAATTATTGCCTGTCCCTGGCATAATCTGGACTCCTCAGGAGCAAAGTGTTTTCTGTAAATACAAAACCACAGAATTTAAGACAGCCATGGACCTAAATCCTATTTTTCTCCTTCGAAAACCTGGAATTCTTTACTGATGACTGGCACCGTCTGAAGTTCACTAAAACAAGAGGCGCGAAATGCCCGTCCCCGCCGTCGCACCAGCAGGGACCTGGGTGCGCGCATACACGGCCCTGCTTTTCCCCTGCAGGTGGACAGTATCTGACAGTCTCGGCAGCCAAAGGCCCGGCGGGAAAGGCTGCTCGCCTGATGCTTCCCCTTGGCCACCTCCTGCACTCAGGGGACCTGTGCCTGTCGTTCAGGCACAAGGTGACGGGGCTGCACTCCGGCACGCTCCAGGTGTTTGTGAGAAAACACGGTGCCCACGGAGCAGCCCTGTGGGGAAGAAATGGTGGCCACAGCTGGAGGCAAACGCGCATCACCCTGCGAGGGGCTGACGTCAAGAGCGTAAGTAGACCCGCCGGGGAGGCAGAACCGGGGAGGGTTTCCTTTCAGAGGAGAACTCTGGGGTCTGCGATGGACGCCTCCGTCTCTTCCTGAATTTAGGCGGAAGGCTTGTGCCTTGGCCGGGCGTGATGGGTGACCCCATACGTTGCCTCTTTCTATACCCGCTCTGCCCCTTCGTACACATTCTTCACGGCAACCTCTGACCACTGTCACTCTCCCCACCCTGGTGAATAGCCCCTATTTTTAATGAAAAAAAATTGTAGGAGTTGAAAAAGTGAAAAAAAAAAAGTTAACAGAAACTTCAAAGGGTGGCGGCAGGGTACCTGCTTTTCCTTTTCCTTAAACTCGTTGTACTTCAAACTTTGACCACCATGAGTTACCCTAAAGTGGTTTTTTTGGGGGGTGAAATGTTTCTTTAAAGTCTTTGTTTTCCCTTTGCCTCAGAGATCATAGTTAAGCAGCCTTGGATGGAAACCAGAACAATATGCTTGGAAAGTATTATCCTATTCAGGACAGGTGGTGGGAAAAGCTTTGATTGAATATATAAATTTTATCCTAAGTAATCAAGTCATAGGTAGCAATAAAATGATCTATAACACCCCACTGAAATAGTGAATGTATTTGGAAAAAGTGTCTTTATGTTGATCCTAATAAAACAGTTATTAGGAAATTCTGCCTCTATACCTATAGGTATAATGTCTAGAAACTTTTTAAAAGAAAGAATAGACTCCATGAAGACAGCTTGTATCAGAGTCTTGGATTTTGTTTTACTCTGTTTCTCTTTCTTAAAATTTTTCTTAATATTTACATTGTTTGGAAATATAAAAATAAGTTGTTTCACATCCTAACATAGGTTTCCGTTAGATAAAATACAGGAAAGATTTTGGTCTTTCCATAAGTGAAACAACACTGTGATTGCATTAGGGTGTTTGATTCTATTCCATTTTAGGCAACAAAACTATATTAAATTAACCCAGAGGAGGAACTAGAAAACGTCTAAGATAGGCTGCACGATTATGATCTTTCAGATCTTTGACTCCTAATTTCTACACCTTTATATTCCATCACACTCTTTACTTCTGACCTTGGTCAGAAGTGTCCACTTCATAATCATTCCTAAATGGAAGCAGTCCATTGTTTAGAATGACTTTTTTAAAGAGTAACAGATTCTGGGCAATGGGGTCTGGTTAACGATTTACTGACGACTTAAGTTTCTACCAGAAGGCAAGCCTCATTGACACTGGCAACTCTGTTCTAGTCTTTCCTTCTGTTAAGTAAGTTTACTGTATAGTTTTGGGGAAAGTTTGTCTTTATTTTGCTAAACGAGCAGGCATTGGAAAGGGGCAGAGGAGGCTTGACCGGTGTGTACGTTCTCTCCCTAGGTCATCTTCAAAGGTGAAAAAAGGCGTGGTCGCACTGGGGAGATTGGATTGGATGATGTGAGCTTGAAAAAAGGCCACTGCTCTGAAGAACGCGAGCAACTCCAGAACTAGCAATGAAGCCCCGTGTTGCTCCCTCTTCTTTTTCCAACCTTCACCTCCTGTCCTTTCCTCCCTCGTATCAGGCCTAGGAGAAGAGTGGGTCAGGAGAAAGTCTGGCTGGTGACCCACATCTTGCTGGCCTGCTTTTGTGCAATCCCAGTGAACAGTGGCACCTTCCTTGAAATACAGGGGGGCATCTGTAGATGTGTCCAAAGCCATCTTTGGGTGTTACCTTTCATCCCATGTCTCTTAAGAAGGCCTTCAGTGTGTGTGACCTATACCGTCCTTCATCCTGGTTACAAGGTGTTCCCTGTAGCAAATTAGAGAAGTTTTCAAAAGAAATCTGTGCAAATGACCATTCTGTTATCTGTTCAGTGTTGTACCATGAGTAGTATTGACTTCCCCTAAGATGCGTTGTACAATGTGCTTGTGAAATTGGTTTCTCCTCTCCACTTGGTAGTTCTGGTCTGACCTGAACTCTGACTTTCACTGCCACTCACTTTATAAAAGAAGGGTATGTAGCATATCAAGATGCATTTATTCTTGTTATCTGTATTTTTCTTTTAAAGACAATTATGTAGAGTGGGCACGCAATCCCTCGTTAGTAGTACTGTGTTTTGTGTAAATGTGTTATTGGTGTTAAGTAGTTATGTGTTCCTAATATTTACAGACTCTAGTTGCAAGGGAAAGGCAGCTTATGATCTCTTGAGTTAAAAAAAAATACATGGTGGAATGGCATCCAGTTCCATGACCTTATACTGGCAGCAAGAGAAAATTGGAAGAGGTATCTGTGGTTGTAGGGAGATGAATTTTTTAACGGCCTTGAGTTTGATCACTACAAAGTAATAGACAGGAAACTGTAGTTAACATGTAAAACCCTCACTGTTTCAGGTTACACTTTAAAACCAACAGCCTTTACCATAACAATATGGTTCTTTCTGGTAATATGTAAGAAGCTTTATGAAAGTTCTGGTTGTTTCAGAGAAGAGCTTCTGTTTCTGGGAGCTGGGTATGGGGAAGCATGGGGGAAGCTCTGTTGAAATAGATTTTCATACTGACTTTTCAATGAGTATAAATTTAGGCAGGTCTAGATCACAACTTATGTGCTGTTGGGTCAGGAAGGGTTGGGAAGCGAGTCTCATGCTTTGAGGCATCAGACGTGCTGGAATGAGATTCTCACACATACACACACTAAATCAACAGGACAAGATTGGAATTCTAAGATCTATGAACCCCTAACTATATTTCCTCCCTGCAAAGTTTACCTTTAGATTTAAACAGAATACATAACTTTTAAAAGGCAACTTATTCCTGAGGCTTTTCTTTATTTCCGATTAAGTAATCAAACTATTTTCTGCTGTTTTTGCCAGGAATCACAAAGATGATTAAAGGGTTGGAAAAAAAGATCTATGATGAAAAGTTAAAGGAACTGGGATTATTCAGCGTGGAGAAGAGAAGACTGAGGGGCAAACCACTGCTGGTTTTCAAGTATATGAAGGGCTGGTACAGAGAGGATGGTGACCAGCTGTTCTCCATGTGCACTGAGAATAGAACAAGAGGAAACAGGCTTAGACTGGAGTGTGAGGGAGCATTTCCTGGCAGGGATGGTTATTAAGTTAGAATCCTTTGTCTAAAAGAAAAAGTGTGAATTTTTTTTTTTGAGGCTTTTAAAAAATTTGATAACTCTTTTTTTCTATTTAAGATGGTTAAAGACATTCTTACCTCAAGGTAGAGTAACATTACAGAATCTCCCCAAAGATGTTTTCATCCTATTACTATGTAATGAAAGTCTCCAGAACTAAGTAACTTGGACCAGGGCTAAGGTCTAATTTAGGTACTTCCCTCTTGACCGCCTAATAGCGAGGAATCAAAAGGGGAAAAGCCACCAAATGCTGAGGTCATGAAAATGTCTATCCCTTTATGGCAAACCTAGCAGTATTTAAAAAACAAAAACAAAAAAAATTAAAAATCTGTTTGTTCCAAAAGAGTATGATGGGCAGATATTTTAGTATCTCAGTAATGTCCTAATGTGGTGGTATATATTTCTTTTCTTGGTAAAGGTATAACCCTTTCACTTGCTTAATGGATGATATTTCAGGTTTTTAAAGAGACCATAACAAAGAACACAGTTTCGAGAGATTTTTATCTGGTGCATTCTCTCTGCAAACATGTGTGACAGCTTAATTTGGCTACTGAAAAAGAGAGTGCCATGCCCAGCACCACTGCCAGGACCTTTCCTTCTCCTAATGGTAAAAGTTTCTCTTATCAGTGGGAATCTCCCAAGCCCCACAAAATGGTATTGTTTTGGGAACAGTAGGTACAATAGACAACAATTAGGTCTTTCATCATTTAACTTGGTGGATGCAAGGCCAGAGGGGGATATAAATCAGTAAGCCTTTGAGTAGGGGCCAGAAAATATGGCTTTAGATCCATTTTTTAATGATTCATTTCCTTTTTGGTCATATAACTGCACAACTGGTGATGAAAGGGGAAAATAATAGAAAGTTTCACTTTTAGGTGCCAATAATGCATTGCACTACACTGATGGAAGAAGTTATCCAAAGTACTGTATAACATCTTGTTTATTATTTAATGTTTTCTAAAGTGAAAAATGTTAGTGGTTTTCCAAACAGCCAAATAAAAATAATAATTCTTTATAAATAAAAACAATAATACCAGTTGTCTCTTGTTTTTTTTTAAACTGGAAAAATTATCGAGGTGATGTGATTTTTCACAAAAGCCATCTATAGTATTGCTTTAGTTATGTTTTCTCAAATCTCATTTAGTTGTGAACATTTGCCTCAGATCCTTTTATATAAAGGCAGGATAAGTAAAGATACAAATATATATGAATTATAAATGAAGTCTTTTACTAGTGTTGATTGTTAATTTATGACATTTTACTCATATTCCAGTAACCTTTCCTGATGGAGAAAAATTATAAGGAAACAAAATTAATGAAATCGTTCAAGATCAAAAATTAGTCCTCCTACAGAATTATAATAAATAGAGAATATGCTTAATGCTGCTTTCTTTCCAATACTCAGAGAACCCTTAGTGGCAAGGAAACTCAAGTTTTGGATAAATACATACTTTAAGCAAAAGGTAAAGAAAAACTGCAGCTTCCTTATCTCAGAGTTGTTTCCTTATCTCAGAGGTCCTTCCTAATCATCCCCGGGAGATCTGAGAAAGCTGAGGTTTTCCAAATATGTTAAGAAGTTAAACCTCTTCTGAAACTGAGGTGGGAGGAAGCAGATAAATATGAGATCCCAGAGTCCAGTTCATCTATTTACTTGACAGATTTTATAGCACTTACTGGGTGCCTGGCTCTGGGCTACAACAGTAAGCAGACTCCCCTTTGTGGAGTTTCAATCTAGAGAGGAAGATGGACATGTATCAAAGTTATATAGATAAATGCAAAATTGCTATTCTGAAAACTGGCATACTTTGAAGGCTCTGAAAGTGTGGTGGGTTCCAGGACGTTTGGCCCATTGTCTTTCAAACTCTAATGTGCATGTGTATGGGAATCACCTGGAGATCTTGTTAAAATGCAGCTTATGATTCAGTGGATCTGTAGTGGGACTTGAGATTCTGCATTTCTAACCAGCTCCTGGGTGATGCCCATGCTGCTGGTGTTGGGGCCAAATTTGGATTACAGGTCCTTAGTGATAATACACTGAGGAGCCTGGGGCCTTCATCTCTGTTAACATTCATTGCTGGAAGGCATAAAGGTCCCTGGTTGCAAGATCTACATTCACAAATATTCACTAAGTTCCAGTGAATTTTTTCCTTCAAAAAATGTTTGGGCTTAGACAAATAGAGAATATCAATAAGTAGACAAATATTATTTTAAAAGAACAGAAACTATGGTTATAATAGTACAATCACTAAAATGAAAAACTGACCAAGGTATTCAACAGCAGATTTGAGCTGGTAGGAGAAAGAATCAGTCAACTTGAAGATAACGTCAGTTGAGATTATCTAATTTGAGGGAAGGATAAAGCTTCAGTAAGGATAAACAACGAGACTTGAGATCAACAAGAAAACAGAAGAGTCGAAAAATTCTATAAGCCAACCAGACCTAACATCTGTAGAACACGCCACTGAACACAAGAATATACATTTTTCTCAAGTGCATAGAGATGTTGACAGACATAAATTAGGCCATAAGACAATACCTCAAAGTTAAAAGAATTGAAATTATATAAAATAAGTCCTTCCACCACAGTGGATGAAATTAGAAATCAGTAACAAAGGGAAATTTGAGAAATTTACAAATATGTGGAAATTAAATAATGTGCTTCTAACCAATGGCTGAAAGAAGAAATCACAGGGAAATTAAGAAATATTTTGAGGTTAATAAAAATGAAACCATACCCAAACTTACAGAATAAGCTAAAGCTTTGTTTATAAATGCCTATATAAATTATATTTATAAATGCCTATATTAAAAAAATCTCAAATCAATCTAAACTTCAACCTTATAAAACAAAGAAAAAATTAAATCACAGTAAGCAGAGGAAGGAAATAAAGATTAGAGCAAAAAGGAAAATGAAGTAACAAAAACAATATAGAAAATCAATGAAACTAAAAGTTGGTTCTTTGAAAAGATGAACAAAATTTATGAATATTTAGCTAGACCAAAAAAGAGAAATAAGACTTAAATGAGCAAAATCAGGAATAAAAGAGGGGACATCATCACTGACCTTACAGAAATACAAAGGATTTTAAGGGAACACTGTGAACAACTTTATGTCAACAAAATAAGATAACCTAGATGACGTGGACAGAGTCTTAGGCACAAACTATTGAAACTGCATCAAGAAGAATAGAAACCTGAAGAGACCAATTGCAAGTAAATAGATTGAGCTAATAATCAAAAACTTTCCACAACAGAAAGCCAATTCCCAAAGAGCTTCAATGAAGCAATGAAGTAAACTGACTATTTAAGAATTAGTACCAAGTCTTCATCAACTCTTTAACTATATGGAGGAGGATACACTTTCCAACTCATTCTATGAGACCAGCAAATAGAAGAGTTTGGAGATTACTGCCATCTTAACAATATTAAGTCTTTCATTTCATGAACATGGGATACAGCAAAGGCAGTGCTCAGGGACTGCAGCAAACACCAGTAAATAGTGAAAAAGACGATCTCAAATCAATACCCTAAATTGATATTAAGGAACTAGAAAAAAGATGCAAATTAAGCCCAAAAATAGCAGGAGGAAGAAAATAATAAAGACATGAATGAAGATAATGAAATAGAGAAAAGAAAAACACAGAATCAACAAAAGGAAAATTTGGTTCTTTGAAAGGATCAGCAAAGTTTTAAAACCATTAGCTAGACTACCAACCAAAAAACTCCTAAATAATTAAAATCAGAAATGAAACTGGGATTGTTACTACTAACTTTACAGAAATAAAAATAAGAGAATGCTATGAACAATTATATGCCAACAATGAACAATTATATGCTGACAAA